GGTGTTCTGAAGTGTTGGGCTGCATGCCAGGGAAAGAGCCAGGGCCAGGAAATCATTGCCTGCCCTTCCTGACAGGCTCAGGTGACCTGTTTCTTATCATGTTAATTTTTTATCACTGTTGTTTAGTTGTTCTCCAGACAGACTTTTTACCTTTATTTCTTAATTCCTGGATAGGGGCTTTTTAGGATGCTCCTTCCATCTGCTGTCCCTGCTGTGGGCAGCCAGGTGCTGCTCCCAGTTGTGTCTGTGCTAAGCACTTTGCTGAACTGGGATCTGAAAAGCTGATGTGGCCCTCTTGGCTATCAGGTAGCTCTTGCTCCTTCATGCATTTTTCAGTACAATTCCCAGGGACTTGGAAATTGGATTCCTGCAGGACTTTTGGCTGCACATCATGCAGAGTGCACACAATGCTAGGATGCATTTTATTAACAGGTGTATTATCAATGTACCCTTGTTACAGTATCCTCTGCATTTCCCTGGGTTTCTTATTACTGTTCCTAAACTTGTTCCTCCTATTCTGCATCCCTCCTGTGGCTGCAGACCATCTTTCATTGGAAAGTTGAAATTGTTATCTGGCCAAATCTGCAGTGCTGTCCCATCAGGGGAAAAATATCTTTCCTGATCCTTGCTGTTGATCAGCTTGTGTCCTGAAGCATGATTATTGCTCACTCTTGTTATTTTTAAACCTGACTAATGCAGCTACATATGTTATTCTTCCTTATATAAACACATAATCCTTTTTTAATCTTGCTGAAAAAAAATGTGTGTATAATATCTTGTGCTGGTGAATTGGATGGGCTCATTTATAGATAGCATTAGGAAAAGTCTCCTGACAATCTGAAACGTGCTGCCTCTCATGTTAAATTGCCCTTTGGTTTTCTTATGTAACAGGGTGCATGAGGAGCTTAGATAATTTCCATTCTATTTGTTTTATACATCTATAATCTTGTCTTGCCTTTGTTCCTAAAATAAATAGTTGGTCTCTAAAATATATCATTTGTAAATCCCCCTCTTGTCTGCCTTTAATCAGTTTATACTTCTGGAGTTCTGTTTTGTTCTAGCTTTCTTGCTGAGATGAGAAAATCAGAAGAGTGATGCATTAGTGTGAAAGCTACAGCAGCTTTACATAACACCACTCTGCTTTTATTGGGCTTTATCCTCTGTTTGGACATTCAAACATGCTTTTTATTGTTTTGTGCCTGTGCACAAACCTCCTCTTCAGTGACAAAGAGCCAGGTTTTTGGATGGTGGAACGTGGCTGTTGTAAGTCCCTGTCTTGTTCTGGATATCACCTCCAAAGTGTATCCAGGCTTGTTTTCATCTGCTTTGCTACTGTGTGAGTGCTCCAGAGGCTTTTCAAAGGGAGTCACTGCTGATATTTTAATGCTGAGTGTTACTGGGCTCATAAGCAAACTTCACTTCCCTTGCTGGTTAAATTGGCCTTCTGCTGCTGCTCTGCAAGGAATAGCAAACTTCAGCATTTTGCTGCTCATTCCTGGAATATCCTTCTAGTTTGATCTTTCCATTTTACCACCTGGCCATCTTCCCCAGCTTCTTTGCCTTCCCATAGCTGTGCAACATTGCTGGCACAGGACACTGTTTTCACTTGGCTATGACATTGTTTTTTTCCTTGATAGCTGTTGTGAACAGCTTAAGGAATAAAATACTTCATGTCCTCACCAGGCACGTTCATGGGGAGGCAGTTCTGCTGTCATCCTCAGCCACTTGAGGGTTATCTTTGTACCCATCCAGCCCTTCCCCTCCGAGAAGATGAGTCTCATAGCTCTGTAAATGAAGTTACCCACCTGGTGTTATTAATAATGCATTGGTGCTCCTCATCAACAATTACAGATGTTCAAGAAGCATTGCAAGGCTCAGATGCAGTGTGTTTGTCCCCAGAAAGAACTAATGGAGGTAACAGCACTGTGTGTAAGGTGGACCTTTTTTGTTGCCCACTTTACCCTACTTTTAGTGCTTTGAAACTTCCACTGATACCATTGCCTTTTATAGATGGCTGATCTGTGTTATGGTTATACACAGTTTCATTTGTTCATGGCTGAATTCACCTTTCCCTTTAAAACAGCCAGGACAAGCATTATTTATTATGCATGGGCTGCTCTCCCTGGAGTGGAGAATCACCATGTCCATAGGGAGCAGCAGTCCAGGAGCTGAGTAGCTCATACTTGGGCTGGCTTTGAATTTGTCAGACAGTTCTGTGCTGCCCTGCTCAGGTTAAGGACAAACAGCCACTTGGCATCTTTGGACAAAGTCATCTTTTCCTAAAGCCTAAACTGCCCTCAACAGCCACCACCCTGGGGTTGGAAATACTTGGGGGTGAGAGTTTCTGTGCTTTCCCTGTGCAGCTATGAGGGGAAGGTTCCAACAGCCTGCTGAATTATCCCTTCTCCTGTGGAGATTGTTTCTTGGCAGAGGGGCAGAGTCGAGTGGCTTCACTTCCAAATGAGATGAATAGAATTCTCAGTGGGATTGAATTATTTTTAGAGGTTGTTATCATTGGGTTTTCTTAGGCCAGTGTTTGATGCTTTTGGATGAGGTGACAAACCAGCCCTGACTATTCCTGATTGTGTGTGTGTGGTTGTGCACCATTGCTCTCTCCCCATGTCTCTTTTCTATCCCTGTTCCCCTAAACCTGTGATTCTGAGGGCAATTAAGTATGAACCTCAAATCTATCTCTTTTCAAATTTCATCCTACCTAGTTAGTCCTACCAAATATTTTGTACTTTTTTTGATTAAGAACATAGTCTCATCAATTTAGGCAGTTTGGGTAATAATTTACATCTTTTTGTCTGAGGGTGTTCGTTTAAGCAATAAAATTCTCACTGTTTTTAAAGAGGCTCCATGATTATTCTTAAAGCTCAGACACTCCATTACATTTAGGTATAAGAACCAGAAACTCCTGGAACCACAAGAGTTTTGTGTTGAAATAAGTATTTAGGAGAAATACCTGCACAATAAGAAAAGCAGTAGAGGTGTTTTTGTTCTTTTAATGGCTCGAGCTGCTTTATAAACATTGGCAGGGATTTCTTGTCTATAGCAGTAAAAGGAAATAAAACTTTCAGTTAGGTGGTGTTGTTGCAGATAGAAGTTTATTTTTCATCAGTATATTTTTTTTTTCTATCTGCATTATTTCCTTTGGCAAATGGGAGTCAAAAAACTCTGCTCAGTTCTGGCACGTGTGAATTTTTCATGCTGCTCCCAGGTTGTCCATCTGTAAGCACTGGCCCTGCATGAACTGCCAGCACAGAACAAATATTGAAAATGTTTTCAACTCTTTTGAGGATGACCAATAAGCACACCCTTTGTTTGAATAAATTTTTGTCTTTAAATATGTTCTTACCCTGTTTGGTTTTTGACTTTGTTTTATTTTGGTTTTTTGTATAGTCAACTCTGGCTAGCCTTATTCAACCCCAGATAGAACATTTGTTTCATTGGGGTATAGATTATGTTCAATTAAACCAAGAGCATGTTCCATGTTAAAACAGTACCAATTTGAAACTGTACATGCACACAAAAATGAATATTCACCATCCTTCTCTGGGTGGGATTTGGAATTATTCAGTACAAATACTTCTGGACCCCTGCTGAATTGGGTCAGCTTTGTCTTACTTGCCCTTAAGGGGAAAAAGCCTTGTTATTTGATGTTTGCAGCTGGAGTAGACTGGGAGGTACTGGGCTGAAGCCAGAGTCCACCAGATCTGAGTCCCTGTGGCTGGGTTTGTTACCTTTTATGCTGAGAGGTCAGAATATACAAAAGTGCCTTTGAAAGGGCTGTACATCCTCTACTTGAATTCCAGCAACTGCCCCAAGAGAAGCCCAGGAGCATCTATTGATTACAGGCTTTTTTCAAAGGCACTTTTTCAATACCAGGACCAAGAGAAGTGCAGCATCATGGGCAGAGTGTGAGTGGCACACACAGCTGAAAACACTTCTTCTCTTTTGACAGGATCAACACATTGTATACCTTTGTGGGGTTTGGTTTTTGTGGGTTTTGTTGTTTGGGGGTGGCTTTGGAGGTTTGGTTTTTTGGGGTTTTTTAAATTTTTTTTTCATATTTAGATATCAGGGCTTTTCTTTTCCACTTTTATCAGGAGAATGTAGCAGCTTTCACCCCTGAGGAGCCTCTGGCTCAGAAACTAAAACTGAAGGGCAGTCTTAAATGTAGCAGTGCCTCCAGATGCAGAAAGCAGATTCCCCTTCCTTTGTTCCCCCTGTCTCCAGAGGTTTTCAGTACTTGGCTAGACCAACTCAGAATTAGACTGACCTAGTGTAGGCAGCACACTCCCATTGAGCAGGAGATGATCCCAGAGGCTCCCTCCAACTAACATGGCTTTGGGCTGTGATTGTTGGGTGAAAAAATTGTAGTTTGAAGACAGATTCTTTGAAGATTTATTTTATTTTTAGATCCTAAGCAGATTTTTGAATTGAACTTTGCTTCTTACCAATATTATAACTGATATCTGAAGCCACTGGTGTGGGAAATGCTTTGAAATTTTCTGTTCTGGCTAGCCAGATTATTGAAATTATGAATTATTTAAAGATTTAATGTGCTATTAAATGTGCCAATTAAAAAGGCAAACCTGGCTGCAACTGTGAGCTCATAATATAAGAACCTCTGTACTTTGAAGCTCACCAAGAATTAAAAACATGGCATAGAGAGGGGAAGTAGGAACAAATACTGATATTGAAGATTGCTCCTTTATAAATGATAATTGAGGGGTTTGGGTCTCTTGTATAATAGCTGGAATCCACTGAAGTGCCCCAGTAATGTGAGTAGTGCTAATTATTGCAATTGAGGCTCTCCCCTCCTGGAACTGTCACTGCCAAGCCAGCCCTGCCTTTCTCCCTGCTCAGAGCAATCCCAGTCCAGCCCGTCCTGTGAGTGCCACCAAACCTCTGTGTTTGGGCTCAGTGGCAGAGCCCTGAGTGATTCATGACTGGCATCAATTTCCCTGTTTCACTCCTGCACCTTCTCATTGCAGGGCTTCTTCAGCAAGCGCCTGAAAGGATCCATCAAGAGGACAAAGAGCCAATCCAAGCTGGACAGGAACATCAGCTTCCGTCTGCCCTCTCCCAACAATTCTGAGGACAGGTGAGGTGCAGAGCTGACACCAGCACGTGGGTGCACTCAGGGGAGGGGGCAGGAAGGGGATTTATTGTCCAGCTGGCACGAGGGGGGTTTGTGGGGCTGCCTCTGTACCTTTAAGCTTAGTGTGCAGTGTGCTGCTGATACAGGATGGGAAACTGCTGCTCTTCACATCTGTCCAAAAGCTCAGGTCAAGCAGATGGACTCCAGTACCTTGTCCTGCATCTGTTTCAAATAAGCTGCAGACTTCTAATTTTATGATACAAAACCATGGGATTGATCAGCTGGAGAGAAATTTGCCTTGCTGCATGCAGGGCTTGCCTGCAGGCCAGTGAGAGGAGGAGTTGTGTTGGTGTGAGCAGGGTGGTTCCACCAGTGCTGGCACAGCCCAGAGATGTGCAGTGCAATTCAGGCACTCTGAGGACCCTTGCAGTGTTGGTGTTTTGGTTATTGCAGTGTTACCACAAGGAACAGATGATCTGTTTTTTCAGAAAACTGGAAAACTCAGTAGTTTCTGACCATCTTAGTGCTCCATTTGGTTTATCTTTGCTTTTGGCTGGAGAACCAGGCTGGGAATGGATTGTATACAAGGCAAGCAAAGGCTCTTACACACAGTGTTTCCTAACTGTTTGCAAAGTCCCTTGATTGTTTTTATTAAACATATTCTGTGTTACATTCCACAGTAGCCCAGCAGGAGAAGTAGATAGAGTGAAAAATCAGCTGGCCTGTACTCGAGGCCACGGCAGGCTCCTGTGATTTGACATTGTTCAGTGCATTTTCCCTTCTCCTTTAGCTGAGCTGCATTCATTAGTTGTATCTGTCATGCTGTGCTGCTTCAATCAATGGTGCTGCCTTCTCCATCTGAAAGGCAGACCATAAAATCACAGAGCTAGCAGGGCTGTGGATGTTGGAGGTCTGTTAACATCAGGAGTTACAGAAAAGCCTGCAGCTTACCAGATGTGACTAACCATCTAGATAGCCTTGCTCCTGTAGTCCACCCAGGCTGCTTTGATGCAAGTTTTCCTATAAATCTCTACTTTCAGAGTGTTGCAATGTGGCTATAATAGCAACTCAGTGAGCATAAGCATCTTCAATCATGCCACCAGGCAATCAAGTACCTGTTATTTTTGCCATTGTTTGAAAGCAGCTTTGCTTAAATTTTTGTAATGTGAAGATTTCTTTGCCATAAATAATCTGGTTGTCTTTCCTGAGCTTGGTACTCATGCTGGATTGCTTTTGTAGTGTCAGGGAAGCACTGTTGTTCTGGGAAAGCTAATAAATATAGCTATAATTAATTCCTATATCTTTGGTTTAAGACATGATGTAACACTCAGCAAAGCTGCCTTCTCTTAAAAAGCAGATCCCCTTCTACTCCCTGCCAGTGTGGGCACAAATTTTCAACTAGACTGAAATGAAATGTGAATTTTCTTTGATGAAAATTCAAAAACTTGCATTAAATTCATGAAAGCACAAAAGCATAAAATCCAGGTACTTGATCACATGGTGGCAATTATTGAACATAGAGCTGACTCTAAATTCATGAGGAGGAATTGCCACTCTCTCACCTTCTGTTCCCCCCCATTCTGTTTGAGCCTCTCAGTCTGTGGCAGTGAGAACTTTCCTGTCCTGCCCTGGTGAGTCAGCCCTTTCCCATTTCAAGCAGGTGATTCTAGGTGATGTCATGGTGTTGCACAGGTTTTCAGGAGGACTGATAGCATCTCCCTTTTCTTGCTCTGACAAACACAAGAGCCCTGCCTTCAAAGAAAGTATTATACAGCTTTATAAATTAAAACCCTGCATGGATTAGAAGGAAATAGAGGCTGCTGTCACACTGCCTTTTCATGCTTTTGGGGTGTTTGGGGCCTGTCAAGAAAGTGGAGATTTTACAGATAAATACCTCTAAAATTCTGGACTAAGGAAGATTGGTTATCCTGGTGCACATCAAGATCTGGGATACTGTAACACTGCATGCCATGCTGCATGATGACAGAGGATGGATGCTTTCTGTTCAGAGTTGATTTAAAACAGAAGGGAGTTAGGAATGCTGTAGGGAGCAGGGATGGAGATGAGTTGCAGATTTTTTTGTAATCAGATTTTCTGTTTCAGCAGAAAGCAATTGGCCAATGTACCTTTTCTGGTTTTTAACTTTATTTCAGTGTGTCTGGGTTAGTGGGTAGGGAGAGGAGAGAGTTCTGGTGCCCCTCTAGAAACACTGATCAGCATCCAGGTGTCCTGTAGAATAAATCCATAACCTCTCAGTCTGTAATTCACATCCCTCCTGTTTCTCATACTCAGGTTGTTTGCTGGTGGTTTTTTGTACTTGAATATGTTGTCTTTACAAGCCACTGCTGTGGCAGGACTTAGACTGTGCTCCTTTGTGAGCCAGGGCAGGTGGGAGTGAGGCTCTTTAATGTGTGGCCAGTGCAGCATCCCACCAGGTGCCAACAACTCTCACCATGAGGGAACCTGGCACCATGTCACTGTGGCATCTTTCACAGCTTTTCCAGCCTGTTTCCTCCTGCTTCCTTTGGGCTTTTCAACTCACACATTCATCTGTAATGTTTTCTCAGTGTCCATAATATATAAAACATGTTTAAAAAGCATGAAAAAAGACTTAAGGAAAATGTTGTTTGAAAGGAGAGACCAAATGAATATTTCCAGTTTGTGGCCAGGAATTTGAGGGTATCTCCAAGAGGACCAGCAGTTTTGTTTACAGAGAGGGAGCAAAGATGATTGTGACTGGCTGCATATGGTGTCAGTGACTGCAGCAAAGCTCTGCAGACAGCTGGGAGGGCTTTGCCCTGTTGGGATTTACTGCCACGTGGGAATCCTCCTGCTTTGCTAAAAGTCATTTTATGGCATTATGAGCCAGTGGCAGCGGGGCTGGGAATGGGCTCCGGCAGGGCACAGGGAAGCAGGTAGCCATGGCTCTGGGCTTCATGGTCAAAAGGTACCACTCCTCCAGCCACAGCTTCTTCTACTTTGGGTGAGTTCCAGTTCCTCCCTCCTTGCCTCTTTGCAGTGAGAAAATAGCAGGGCTCGTGTAAATCATAGAAGCAAATCCCGCCGTGTTTTTCAGGTTCGCTCTAATTTAACGCCGGTTTTTGAAAAAAAGGGTGGGGGATTTTCACCCTGATTTAGCTGTCAGGATGGAAATTTGTGTTACACAATGCCTTATTAAGGCTTGACTCACTCCCAGCTTGCATTCATTCAGCATATCTGTAGCTATCAGCACTCTGGAGTGTGGGGAAAGGGGAGGGAGGAGTGGTTTGTTTCTGGAGGGATGCCTCACTCCTGCTTTGGTGAACGTATTTCTTTCAGCAGTTGTTTGGTTTTTCACTGAGAACTGAACAGGACCCCAGCATTTGTCACAGACCTTCCCCTTAGTGTTGGGCTGCTCTCTCCCACCTGCAAGCTCACTTGACCCCTTTATAAATAGATATTTCCTAATGGCTGATGCTTCTCTGCAAAGGCTCCTCCATGAAGCATTCACCTTGAGATTAGTAGGGAAATGAAACTGCATCAATTAAGCATTTCTGGTCCATCAAGACAAACCAATTGGAAACGTTAATAGCAGAGACCAGAGGAGAGAGGAGAACTCTCCTGCTGTGAAATTCAGCAGTCTGCTTGGCTGAGCCCTGAGAGGTGTCTGCTAGACAAGCTGTGATCTGCAGGGAGAGCAGGCAGGCAGGGAAGGGCTTTGCAAATCCAGGATTCAAACAATGAGGCTTTGGGTAGGACTTTGCCAGAAAAGACCAGAATCTCAGTGGAAGACTAGAACAATATACTCAGAAAAACCCAGTGTTTAATCACACCTGAGAGTAACCTTGCAGATAAATAAGTTACCTTAAGTTTCTGATTAAAAAAAAAAAATTAATAATAAAACTGGTTAGACTTGTAGAATTGTTGACCAAGTAATAGGATGTTCAGATAATTGGCAGTTGGAAAATGAAGAGGGGTGTGGTGCCTACAAAATGAGCATTTGGACAGGGAAAATCCTGGTGCTGCAGCACGGGCAGAGCCGGGTGAATTGCAGGTGATGCTGGAGACGGTAGGGTCCCGTTCCACGGGGCTGGGAGCTGGGAGAACAGCAGAAAATGCTCTACATTACAGTCCAGGCTCTCCCCTGTGACTTTGCAGAGTGGCTGAGTATTGAATTCGACTTTCTGCTCTCGGGGAGTGCCTCCCAGCACATGGGGATTGCTGGAATGATTTGAAGCACGCAGACGAGCAGCTTGGTGTAAGGCAATTTGGAGACTTGGCTGTAGCTGGGTGCTCGGGCTGAGTTCTTTCCTTTCACACCAATTTGGTAAAGGAAAGTTCATTTTTAAACTTTTTTTTTTTCAAATCTTCTGGATTATTGATGTCCACAGGCTTGTTTTACAAGTAATATAGAACTCTCCCTGGTAAGCTCGGTAATTGGAAGTCTTTTGTGCCTTGTAGGTTGGCTTTTAAATAGGTCAAAATCAGCAGGAGAGCTTCATAACCAGAGCAATTAGGATTTTAACCCTTTATTCTATGTGCCTTATAGACAGTAGAATATAATAGAACTTTGCTAATAGGCTGCTGTGTGCCATGGGCAGCCACTGAAAGCCAGAGGTTTCCAGTTCCCGGCTTACAACCGAGATTTTCCTGTCATGGAAAATTACTGAATTATGGTGTGCAAGGAGAAAGGGTCAGCTTGGGGCTGGGCCAGCAAGATGGAGTGGTTGGAGAGCTCTTTTCCAGTGGCAGTTGCATGCTGCTGCCAGGTCAGTGGTTTAGAGCATTGTCTGGGCTCTGATTTACAAGGAAGTGATGCAGCTCTGAAGACCAGTACTCCAAAACATGTGAAAAGAGGTGAGAAGTTTAAAATGCTCCCTGACATGCTCCTCCTCTGTTTTTCCTGTGGGAAAGAAATTATGGAGAATATATAAGAATTATTTGGTGTCTTGATAACTGTTTGAACTCCCATGTAGTTCCTTTGCAATCACTGTTGTTTACAGACATAGACAGAAAAAGCAACAGGATGAAAAGTTGATCATGGGAGGTTAGTTGTAATTTAAAACAGGATTTGTGTTGGTAATGGAGCTGTTTAACAGAAACAGATTTGTACAAACAACCCTTCCCCCACTTTTTGCATGTGTGATCTTCCTGTTTACAGTAATCTGCTTCCCTGGGATTACCTCTCTGCTGACAGAGTCTGAGCAATGCTCATTTTCCCAGTAGCTTCCTACCTAATACAGGAAGGACCCTGTTAATCCAGCCCCTTTGCTGGACACTGGGACATGAATTAGTGGCATCTATGGCAAAAGGAAGCCAGCAAGCAATTTTCTTTCCTTTTTACAGATTCAGCATATCAGATGAGGCTTTAAAGCAGCAGAGAAGTATTATTTCTGTATAATTATTGCCTGTATTGATTGGGATGCTGCTGATACAGGCACGAGTCAAAGATTTGCTTTGCAGATCTATCAATAGATGAAATCTATACTGTGGTGCTCACAAATGCATGTACTTGTGTTTGTAAATGCATGTGGTTGCATCTAACCAACAGCTTTAGGACGTTCTGATGTTTGTGGAAGATAAAGTGCCAGTTCTAAGCCACTTCATCAGTTTATTGAGCTGTTTTAAATATGGTAACTTCAAAGGACTGCTGGAACAGACTGACATTTGTCTGCCACAGGACCTTGAGTCAACAAAACTACCAGTGCTCCAGCTGCTCTGCAGCAAACCCAAATGCTCACAGCCCACTAGTCAGAAGAGCAGTGGAGCAGCAGAGATGCTCCTAAAAGGTGTGACTTGCAAGATGGGATGTGCAGGCTTGGAGTACATCTGCTGTGTGTACCTGCCTTTGCCCCTGCCCTGTTCCCAGAGGCTGTTTGGAGGTTTTCCTGGAAGATTCCTTGCTCTCTCACATTGCCTTTAATGTCTGGATCTCATCAAAGCTCTCGGAAAGGACAAGGGGGAACTTCTCTGTCTGGGAAGGTCACCTTAGCCATGCCTGCAGAGCTGCCTCCCTAATCTCCTTAGGGGATGCTGTGCCTTGGCAACCCAGGAGCAGGCAGGAGCCTCTCCTGGCCCTGTGGGGTGGGAGCACAGCTGGCAAGGAGGGAGCTTTGCTCACCAAGGAGGGAGCTTTCCTCACCGTAGCTGTGGCTGCTCTCCTGGCCCCAGCCTATCTGCCTGGCACGGTGTTCCTCTGAAATCTGTAACCTGAGGCTTGAGGAAGAGCTCCTGCTGGATTTGTTTGTGCCTTTCTTCCTCTCTGGGCAGGATTTGTTGTGTGAGATGTAGCAGGGAGCAGGAGGTTTGGAGGGAAGGGCTGTGGCATGAGGCACCGCTATGATCTGGAGATGCTCTGCTAAGTGGCTCTACAGTTGTTTTGTGTAGGTCTACTCACCTTGTCTTGCTCCAAGTGCAGCCTCTGCCTAACTGGAAATTGCTACATATATTTTTTTTTCTTTTTTTCATCCTTTCTTTGGTAATTATTTCTCTTTCTCTCCTCTTCCCCCTCTCTGTGCTCAGTCCATGCTTTCCTCCACTGAGTGGGTGCTGGCTGCAGGCTCCCAGTACTTTGTAAGGACAGGAATTGCTCAGTTTGAGGCAGGGACAGAAGCCAAGTGACCTCAGCAGTGCTTTCTTGAGAGGAGAAATTAGAGAGGGTTTTGCAGAGATGACATTAGAGTGGTGTATTGTGGTGTGTTTATTTTAGACTTGCCCTACCTTAACTGCAGCAAGTGCTCAATTATACATGGCTGAGGTTTGGGTTTGCCTTGGTTCAGCTGCTGCTGGAACCTGTTAGAACAAAGCACAGCACAGCCAAGGCTCCTACCAGGGCTGCTGCTTTGCATCTGAAATCTGTCTTTGGAATATTCCTCCCATCAAAGGGTTCTGCTGCCTGCACTCAGGTCATTCAGTATATTAAATGGGAACAAAGTTCTCCCTCGCTGTTTAATAAATCTTATCGTGTGTGAATCTGCTCCAATACCTGCAGCACTTCATTCCATACAAAAGAGCAGCTGGGTGAGCTCTGCTTGTTGCATTGCCTGGATCCTTTGTGGTACCCAAGGTTTTGTTAAGCAGCCTTCATTCAGATGTCTTTTCCAAATGTTTGGGGTTTTTTGCCTCTGAGTTCCCCTATAGAATTGCTCACAGGTAGGAGGAGTTTGATTTTGCTAAGGATAAAGAATGTGAGGAACTTTTTTTTTTTTTGTATATGTGAGAGAAGTGTAGAGAAACGAATTACTTTTCAAAATTAGGGAAGCTGTTAGAGGTAGCTGTGCTTTTCTTTCCTCTATAAATAACATTTTTTAACAATTTCCATTTGATACTGGGGACTGAATCAAAGAGGAAATGCTGTGAGGATGAACACAGGAGCACTGTGTTTCTCTGAGTGGTGTGCAGAGAGCTGATGCCTCTCTGCTTCCACATCTGTTCCTTGTGCCCAGTCACACTTGCTGGATGGGCAGCCACAATTATGGACTTGCCTCAGGGATCACTGAGCACAGGGACTTCAGTATCTTAACAAAAGCTAGACCTGCCAGGCCAACAGCTCCTTCTCTGCTAAGCTGGGACTCTGTGCTCTTCCTCCTTGCTGGTCAGCTGTGAAGGACTTGACTGAATTCCTGCCACAGGAAAAATAAGATGTGTCTGCATGTGATGTTTACCTTGAGATGGAAGCTGTGCCTCAGGTGTTATGTGACTGTTGCAGAAGCCTCTAGGGCAGGTTTGGAGGCAGAAGGAGAAGCCACATCACCTCTAAACTGGGCACATTTTGCAGTTCTGTTTGACAGCAGAGCTCCCCACCATGCACAAATGTTGCATTAAATCATATTGGGAGATTACAGAAAGGGTTAAAACACATTTGATAATGTCACTGTTGTTTGCTGAGCTGTGGCATAGTGGAGGGAGGGAAGTGTCTTTGAGAAGTGTTCAAGAACTGGTGGGGACAAAGAGAAAACTGCCTTGATAAAAAGATGCTGTGAATGTGGGAGGTTTCAGCTCTGGTGGAGCTCATGGATTTACAGGACAATGAGCTGGAAAGGAGAAGCAGTATGTGTTAGTGAGAAGTTAAAAGAGAAAGAAAGTATCCAAAAAAAATGGAAATTCAAGTTGGAAGCAGAGCTGAAAAGGAAAATGCAAAATGACTGGTTTGAGCAATGGTGAAGTGGGATGGAATTTGTGTGTTTTGTGTATTTGTATATTTAGTGTAAATGCTTTGAATGTTAAAAATCAAGTATATTGTGAAGGGTCATCTGCTCTAATGAATAATCCTCATTCTGCATTGGTTACAGATTTAGGGATCCATGTGCTCTTTGCTGCTAATACACAACATCTGTCTACTAATCTAGCTAGTAACAAGTATTTCCAGTATTACATCCAAAGCTACCTGTATGGGCCTTTAAAAAATTTCAGCAGTTAAGTTCTGAAATTTTTGCTGCTGTTCTTTCACTGACAGCTTGGCAGCTATAATTTCTAGGTCAGTGGGAATGGACTTCCTAGGCTGGATATTGCCTTGGGAGTCTGGGGTTGCTGGCCTAATGTTATTTTCATAAGGTTTGCAGACTAATTGTGGAAGTTGCTCTGAATAAGCACCGAGACAAGCTGCAGCTTTGTCTGGCATCTTGCCAGCTCTTTTTGGTAATTGTGAGAAAAACCAAGACATTTCCTTTCCTCCTTGTCCTCCAGACCACGTGAGCTGCCCAAGCTGAAGGAGTCCCGTTCCCATGAGTCTTTACTGAACCAAGCCAGCACCATAGAGACTCTGGACTTTGCAGCAGAAGAAGCAGTCTTTGTCAAACCACTTCACAACAGTATCCTTGGACGAGACTTCTGCTTTGAGGTAGGGACAGGCTCCAACACAGGCAGCTGCCATCCCCCTGAACCCTTGGGAATGCTGCTCCAGGACTGGGACTGGAAAACAGAGCAGCAGCCACTGCCTGGCTGAGGTTTGGGTGGGGGCTGTTGAGCCACCATGTGACTTTTGAAGTCCTTGAGGCTAATGGCATCAGTCACTCAACAGAGAGAAATCTTTTTCTAATTGAAAAATCTCTTCAGTTTAATAAGCATTTGTAGTGTGCATGCAAATGTATGGTTGATACATACAGCACAATGGATATGCAATAGTGTGTACATTAGCTGTGTGTTCACCCCTCCAAATTCACCTGAAATTGAATTTAGAAAAGTGACTGTAACCAAGAAATGAGCTTTCCAGTCAGAGCCCCATTCCATTAGCTCAGTGCTTTCAAGTTGCTAAAGGAGAAGCCTCAGTGGCTGAGGACATGTCCGTGGCTCCGTGAAGCAGGATCCAAAGCTCCCTTTGCTGTTTCAGCAGAGGCTGCAGGCTGTGGCTCTGAGCTCTGCTCCAGACACAGGCACAGACTCTGTGTGAGCTCAGTCCTGCCATCACAGCTCCAGCAGTGCAGCCCTGTGTGTCTGCATGCAGCTGAGGCCACGTCACCTGTCGTGGCAGGGGCAGGTCACTCTGTCCTCAGAAGGATTAGTCAGATGTGTCTGAACTTCTGGAACAAAGATCTGTTTACAACCTGGAAAATTCTGGCAGTAAACCAGCATATCAGGCTCTGGTCCCTCATGATGCATCCAGAAACTGTTCCTGTTTGCTTCAGCCTCATTCATCTGGTTGGAAACTCTTTGCAGCTTGCTTGGGCTTGGGGAGTTGGGTGGAAAACATTGGCAACAGCTTAGCTCTGAGGCTGTTGCCTCAAACTGCTTTGTAATTGTGAGCACAAATGAATGGAAAGAGTAAATGAGGCTTGTCAGGCCACGTAAGAGGGGAAGGAACCGAGGCGGTTCCCTGGTGTGGGAAAGCAGAGCTGTCAGGGCTGGAGCAGAGCACAACTGCCTCAGTTTGTTTAGGCTGTTGCTGTCTTTATGGACCCCTGGAAATATTTTGTTTTTACTGAAGTCATTATGGCCAGTGTGTTTTGCCTTATGCTAATGCATTGTCAGTTCTGTCTTTACACTGTTGGTAACCAAATCCTGTGTCCCTGGGCCTTCACAGGGAAACCAGCAAGCTTTAATAGCCACAAATCAATTAACAACTCTTTAAAAGAAGAAAGATTAACTGGCTGATTAAAGCTTTGTTTAAAAGTCTTTAAGAGGAGCCTCTGGTGCTCTTAATTTTATATAAATTCTTTAGTTTCTCTAGTTTTATAGAACCTCAAACTTCTTTTGCTCTCTGCGTTTTGTGGGCCTTTCATCCTCTCTGCCTTCTAGGCCACTGTATTTTTGCCTCCTTTTTTCAGATTTACTTTGTTACTCAGGCACTGTTTATCTTCCTCCTTGCTTTTTGCAGCCTCTTCCATGTCTCCTAGGCTTGCCTGAGCTCAGTCTGTCATTTATTCATTCCAGGTAACCTACTCCAAGGGCAGTAAATGCTTCAGTTGTTCCTCTGCAGCAGAGAGGGACTGGTGGATGGAAAACATACGCAGACTATCGCAGCCGATGAAGGTAAGGGGAACTGCAAAAATGAGATTAGCTGGGGAATGGAGGTGGGATGATTGGATTTTAGTCCAGTGTACCAGGCCTTCCCACAGATGCATCCTCAATTAATTTAGTCTGGGGAGCCGTCCGCTCATCCGTGTGCCTAAAGCTGCCCTGTGCTATTCCAGGAGTGCAGCAGGGCAGAGCTTTAATGAGTAAACACACACCAGCCTGCTTCCTGATCCCTGCCCAGTGCCAGCCTGGGATGCAGGCTGGATTCCTGAGGCCATGCACCTGGGAAAGATGGGGCATGCCTTTATTAGGGTCATGTTTTAATCTAGGAACCCAAAAAAACCAACATTAAACCAATTGGAGCTGGAGTGAGACAAGGAATCAAGTTATAGATCAGCTGGAAATGTCTGATAAGTCGCTCCACAGCTGCAATCCTTCCTTTCAGGGGCAGGATAACAGTGCTCTGGGGTTCCTCACCAGTCTGGCAGCTTTGGACAGACCCTTGTGTGGAGTGTTTGTTTTCTAAAGCATTTCAGATACATCTTTTGAAGAAGAAAAATATTCCAACACTCTTGACATACAAAAGACAGCCCTTTGCCTCTGTTTTAGAAAATGTCAATTTTTCTAGAGATTCCAATTCTCTCTGGATCAGACTATCTGATTCTGAATTCTGACTCTGTCCTTGCCTCAGACAGAAAAGGCAGCACCTTTGCTGCTGCTTCAGAAGATGAAATATTCAACTTCTAGGGGTTTTGAGTCAGAACTGATCTCTTTCTCCTGCACAGGACAATTGCCGTCGAGCTGAAAACGTGCTTCGCCTCTGGATCATAGAGGCCAAGGACCTGACCCCTAAGAAGAAATACTTCTGTGAGCTGTGCCTTGATGACACCCTCTTTGCCCGCACCACCAGCAAAGCAAAAGCAGATAACATTTTCTGGGGGGAGCACTTTGAGTTCTACAGCCTCCCACACATTCAGAGCATCACGGTTCACATCTACAAGGACGTGGAGAAGAAGAAGAAAAAGGACAAGAACAATTACGTAGGGCTGGTCAACATCCCCACGGCCAGCGTGACCGGCCGCCAGTTTGTGGAGAAATGGTACCCAGTGAGCACCCCCACAGCCAACAAAGGCAAGGCAGGGGGCCCCTCCATTCGCATCAAATCCCGCTACCAGACCATCACCATCTTGCCCATGGAGCAGTACAAAGAATTTGGGGAGTATGTTACCAGCAATTACGCCCTGCTGTGCTCCGTGCTGGAACCCGTGATCAGTGTCAAGAACAAGGAAGAGATGGCTTCTGCCTTGGTGCACATCCTTCAGAGCACTGGGAGAGCCAAGGTAAGCACAGCTGGCTCCTGCTGGAGTGACTCTGGCCACTGATAAGGGGAATCCTGGTGGAAACTGGGGGGGCAATGACAGTAAGCAGCAGCAGCAGATGTTTGTTACCACATTCCTCTTCACAGAGAAAAGCAAGGCACAATTCTTCCCAAGGATTTCTAAGATTCACATTCTCTGAACCTCAGAGAAAGGGAAAACACAATTCTTATTACTTGCTGTGCCTGTGTTGTGCCAAAGTAGAATGCAATATGGAGATTGTTTATCCAAAGTGATGGTGTTTTGTTTCCTTGGCCTATCAGGGCCAAGTGTGTGTGGGGACTGAGGGTGACAGTCACGAGATTCTGTGCAGTGTGAGCAGGTGTGTGCAGAGTGAGTGCTTGGCAGACTCAGTTTAGATGAAATGTTTATAGTATAGTATAACAAAGTAATTAATTAGCCTTCTGATATCCATGGAGTCCTCCTCATCATTCTCTCCCCTTGATCAGAGTCACCTCTGATTTACAATAGATGTTGTGTACAAAGTGTAAGCAGGAGGACTCTGTAACTTCGTGTTATTCTGAAAATCAGCACCTACCTTTGAGTGTCCTTTGCATTTCTAAAATCAGGATGTAGGTTAAGAGAGGAGTGAACAGGAGGTTGGTAAACTTCTATAAATAAATACCCACTGTACTACACTGAGCAGTGGGTGCTGGTGCTGAGTCAGCGCTGAGTCAGCGGATCAATGCAGCATCGATCTGGTCAGTGTTTGAACAGCCATTTGGGGGATCTGTACCGACTTAATGGTGATCCCACCTGCCCCAAGGATGCTCTTAGGACTTCTGGGTGCACACTGGTTCCTTCAGATGGGTTGTGGGAGAGTGTCCTGCAGGTCATGGGAAGTTCTGGAAGCATTAGTCTGCATTGATTGATCTCTCTGGCTGCTGCTGCTGGGTGTGTAGTGCCAGTGAATCCAGCTAGAGCAAGTAAAGCACAAATCAGAGGGATAGAGATGTGGAAGGATGGCTGCAGACAACACCCAAGGGACAGCCTCACCTAACTATTCCAGCAAAGACCCTTCTCTGCTTGCTCCTTGGAAACATCTCTGTGACAGTGTGTGTGACGGGAACATGTTCCGTAAGGGATCTGATGAGAGAAGCTGGTAGCTAAGATTATGTTGAAACCCTGCTGGAAAACAGGCTCTGGATTGCTGCAATGCCTGCTGCAATAAGTTAATAAATTAGTGTTATAACTTGGCATTCCTGGTGTGTGAAGTTTTGAACCTCTATTTAAGGGAGGCACAGGTGGCTCAGGCTGCCATAAAGCTCCTAAGAGGGTACTTCCAGATTTCCAGCTCATACTTCTGCTGATGGGGATACAGCTGGATGTTCCCACTTTGTGCCAGGTGAAAAGAATTCTTGTGGATCTTGTTGAAAAGGAACAGCAATAATGGACTGAAATCCAAGAGTACTAAATGTTGTTTACTCACATAAAGTTACCACTTGAGGAAATAAGTATTACTGTAGAATTAGACCCTATATCAAGAGATTATTCTCTGTATCAAGGCTTGCTGACAGTTCCTTGCCTGGACAATCTAATACATTCAAGTTAAGCCATGTAGATAACCAGCAAGTTGAATGTTAACTTCTTTTTTTCCAAATCCTAAAGCAGTCTTGGTTTGTGAATTTAATTTGTTAAGCCATTCTTCTTATTCAAATATCATCAGGCTCTAATAACTTGTGTGTCACTTCCAATTTGGATTTTTAAATCCATGTTTCTATGGAATATTGCTTATAAAGATAAGGATAAATATGATAGCACAGTTTCTTTCAGCAGACAAAGCCTCTGATAAACAAGCTGCTGAGAGGTTCTGTTCTGGAGCTAAACTGAAACACAAGCTTGGCTATAAAGGGGTTTTTTTTAGAGACTTTTGCTTCACCCTTTATAATTTGTGATTTATATCATTCTACAAATATAATAAACCCAAGAGGAGACCTGGCTATTTCCTCAGTCCTTACTTCCTGTAACAGCTGCACCCCTTGTCTCAGGCTGAGAAATTATTTATTATCCTGAAATATCCTTCCTTCTTGGCTTCTGCAGTTAGCCTGGCACAAGTGAGCTGGTTCAAATCACTTTTGCCATTTGACCTTTTTCCCTCAGGACTTCTTGACAGATTTGGTGATGGCTGAGGTAGATCGTTGTGCAGAACATGATGTCTTGATCTTCAGGGAGAACACACTTGCTACCAAAGCTATTGAGGAATACCTCAAGCTGGTAGGACAGAAGTACCTCCAGGATGCACTGGGTAAGAAACTCCATCTGCCACCTGTTTGCACAGCAAGGGCTGACCCTGAGCTGAGCCTGCAGCTGGGAATGTGGGATGGGAAGGAGCTGCACTCAGCCTGATGTCTCATTCCCAGATAGCACACTGTCCTGCTCTCCATGCCCTTCCTCCACGTGGAGGAGGGTGCTCTTTGCTGCCTGCAGGAGTAGCACCCAAGGCAAGGCAAGATTTGATGTAGCTCAGTCCCTCTTCAAGTTTGTATTACCATGTTCTGGTTTTCTGGGTAACTTTCTTTTGTGTCTCTAGCGTGCTAAAGAGGTTTAACACTGCAATTTCTTTGTGAGCAATGGTGCTTGTTCCATCTGATATACAAACAGCTTGAAAAAGGGGTTTTGACACATAATCCTTGGAGAGACAAGGCCAGGGAGTGAGGCTGCAAGGCTGCTGAGCATCCCAGGACAGGAGGTCAAGATGCATCCTGTCTGGGAAGCCTCTTCCCTGTGTTTATCCCTGCTCTTTATTCACTGACTCATTAAAACTCTCTGGCCATCCTGAGATCTCCTACTCCTTTCTCCCCACAGGGTCTTCATGCCCACTGTTACACGTCAGGGTGGACTATGAAAATTTTGTTATTGTCCCCCCTCCACCAAAAGGTTCTGCTCTAGTCATAACCCAGTGCCTGGGGAATTCCTGGCCACACAAAGTCAGCAGCAAAGGGCACCAAACCCAGGCTGGCTGCCTCACACAGCCTCACCACAGTCGGGTTCCAGCCGCTCCACACAAATCTTCCTTCTCCACAGTTGCACAATGAGCCACCCACCCCCTGTTGTTTCTGGGATGAAGAAAGCTTTGGAAATTGATACAAGAGAAACAAGATCAGGCCAAAGCCAAGTCCCACACCACATCCTTTCACAAAAAGGGAAAAAAAGCCAAGCTGCTTGCTTTCCCAGCAGTCTCGCTTGTCCTCAGCAATCCCAGACACTGGCAAGGCATCAAGGAGATAGCTGGCTAAATTAGTGCTCCAAGGGTCACTGCAGTCAGCTCTGGGATTACATCCAGTTGGGCCATTTCTGGAGTGTAATGAGCCTGTTCTGGTAGTCTTATTCTCCTGGGTGGGACCACTGAGTGTAAGTCACAGTTGTAGGCTCTCACCTGGTACAGAGAAACGAGCAGCCTGGTGCTTTGTGCTGTGCTTCCCAGCAGGCTGAACATCAGCTGTGGGACCACTCCATTACAGCTGACTGTAAGCTCCTTAATGTGCAGTAATTGCATAAAATATTCTAACATTAATGACTTCTAATACATCATTTAGCACTGAGTGATAAGATGGTAAATCACAGGCAGGAGAGATGGAAAATGCCCCTAAGGCTGTCCAGCTTGTCTGCAGCTCAGGGCAACTTCACTCATGACAATATCCCCATCTAATTCTTTGTCAGGTTTTAAATGTCATTTTACTCAGCTGCCCTGTTCTTTGAAAGGATTAATGACACTGTGGTTGGTGTTAGCAATGTAACATGTCTGGAAGGGAATCTTATATCTGATTATAGCAAGGTCTTTTGGGCCACAAAGAGTAAGTTTCAAATATGTTTAAGGATAAAAAATATTATCCAGTAAACAAGAGTTAAAACAGAATTGGCTCAACAAAAGTGACGCCAGCAGTTTTGCAAGTAAGCAAAAATTAAGAAAATGTGCCTGCTTTGCTTGCAACAACACCAAGCTGAGATTTGGGAAGGGGCTGAGAGGTATTTAAGGGGTTTTAGGAAAGCAAAGGCTGAAAACAAACCCCTTTTCCACAAATAAACCTTGTGTTAGCTTAGAGCCAGTGAGATCATCTGAGGAGATGAACTTGAAAGACATTGAATCATTAAACCAGTGAATAAAGGGTTTTTCCTAGTGAACACCCAACAGCTTAAAAATCACTTGGAATGCCTGCATATAGAGGAGGGAAACCACTGAGTAGCTCATTCCAGTCTGTCAAACAAAGCCAGCTTCATGTGGTTTGTATGTGAGCAGTTTCTGTTGTGATGCTGAAAGGGAAGGGTGACAGAAATGCCAAGGAGCTTGAAGATGCAGGCCATAAAAACGCTGTAAGGTGTTGATATAAGAGGTTGAGAAAGTCAGCAGCATCTAGCTAGGGCTTGGGTATTACTCCTATTCAAGAGCAAGGTGACACTTTTTAAAATTAAAAAAAAGGGCAGCTTTAGCAATAATATAAATAAATATCATTGCCAGAGCATTTTCTGGGGAAATTATGAAGACAAATAACACACAGCTTCATTCCTAGGACTGTGGATAATTTCATAGTTGATAACACTGTTTGAATACCAAGTCAAATCCTCCTCTCTAGGCCATAAGGGAAGTGCCTGTAGGGTTGCTAAGCAGAGCCATCCTGTTTTTGCATCTGTGCTTGGGGACACAAGGGCACAGGAGGCTGCAGCATCAGAGCCCAGGCTGTGCTCTGTTGGGAAAGGGCTGGGAGGAGTGTCCCCAACAGCTGGTGTCTGGAGGCTGAGCTGCAGACACCCAGAGCAGGACAGGCAGTTCCAGGGAAAGACATAAGCAGGATTTAAAGGTGTGTCAAGTAGGCTTTTCTTGTAACTACCCTGGTTCCTTCCTCTTCCCTTTTTCCAGGGGAGTTTATCAAGGCTGTGTATGAGTCAGATGAAAACTGTGAAGCAGATCCCAGCAGGTGCTCACAGAGTGAATTAGCAGATCATCAGTGCAACCTGAAAATGTGTTGTGAGCTGGTCTTCTGCAAGATTATCAATTCTTACTGGTAAGGCACCTTCCTTCCCTCCCTTTGTCCCTGTTTGCTCAGGGGTGCCTGTTCTTCCTCTGAGGGTGAGGGAGCAGCAGTGGGACAGGGAAGGAGCACAGCCCCTTCCATCCTCCCAGGCTGCCTTTGTGCCCTCTCCTCACTGCCTCCAGATTGCAGGTGGAACCTGTGCCCAGACTGAGGGGTCCCAGCCCACAAACCACACCTCCCCAAATCCCCTGCCAAGGGAGCACATACTGAGAGTGGCTGGATAAGGAGGGAATAAAGGCAGAAGATAATAGCTTAGCTTGGACTTGGCATAAAAAGCTGCAAGTTTTGATGTGTACAGAAGAGTTTTAGACCCTTCAGATATGTGGAATTGAACAGGAAATCACAGGGAGGAAGCACTGGCAGGGAGATTTCTATTCATCTCTGTTTCTGAGTAGCAGTGGAAGAAGAGGGGCCTTTCTGCTTTGGCATGAGGCAAAGGCATAATATTGAGAGCTTAACAAGCAAGGTAAAACTGTCAGATATGGAGATGAGCTCAGTTTGGCTCGTTTGTTTTCAGTATTCTAATAGCCTGTTTGCTCCAGGGTAGCAATGGATAAGTAGTTCTAGCTTGCAAATCAGCCTGTCTGGAAATGGCTTCACTTAACACAGATGAACAAGGGGTGCTTTAAAGACTACTTAAGTGCCACCAGATTAAATGGGGATCTATGAATAGAGGCTTAATGACATTACCTAGCCTAGAGAGAAAGAGAAAAAAAGGGGAGGTAGAAAAAGATGTTTTCTCACAGATAAGTGTTTTGGGTGACTGATCACCAGTTCAACTTTTTGCATCTCGTTGCCAGTGCAATTTTATTTCCCTTTTTTTTTGTTTTCTTTTGCTTTTCAGCGTGTTCCCTCGCGAGCTGAAGGAGGTGTTTGCATCCTGGAAGCAGCAGTGCCTGAACAGGGGCAAGCAGGACATCAGTGAGCGCCTGATCAGTGCCTCGCTGTTCCTGCGTTTCCTGTGCCCTGCCATCATGTCCCCCAGCCTCTTCAACCTGATGCAGGAGTACCCTGATGACCAGACCTCCCGCACGCTCACCCTCATTGCCAAGGTCATCCAGAACCTCGCCAACTTTGCCAAGTAGGTGCTGCCAGGGGAGCCAAAACCTGCAGCGTGCCCCATTCCTGGCTGTGCTCACAGGCAGCTGCTTCTGTGGCAGACTGAAAACAGATTTAGCACAGGGGGAATCTTCTCACTTGGGTGTGAACACTTGAGACACGTCAGATAAATTCTCCTTACGTGCAGACTGGAGTGTGCTGAATTCTGTGGAGGGGACACAGCATAAAACCATGCACTACCATGATAGTGTCCATGCTGTTTCAAAGGGAAAGAAGATCCTTGCTGTTTCAAGGATCATGATTTTCATGTTTTCTCCCTCCAGAATTCTCAGCTGAATGATACAAAGGGCATAGCACATCTCCTACATGGGAGGAGAGAAAGAGTATCTGTGGGAGGGAGCAGGGAGAGCTGTGATTTGTAATATAAACTGTGAGGTAGTAGTATTTAAGTAAGTACAACAAAGCAGTGTATCTCTTAAATTGTCCATGTGGTTTTTTCCCTCCAAGACTTCAAAATCTTCAGATTTTGATTTTTTTTTTGTTTTTTTGGAAGATATTCCAAATCTTCAGGAAGGCAGGTCTAAAGTAAAGAGTTTTAAGTCATTGTCTGTAAGCACTTGTACTCTGTATATTGTGTGGAGGTTATTGACTGGGTTTCCCCCCACCTCCCTTTCCTGCAGGTTTGGTATTAAGGAAGAGTACATGGCCTTCATGAATGAGTTTTTGGAACACGAGTGGGGAGGAATGCAGCGTTTTCTGAGGGAGCTCTCTAACCCAGATACCATCTCCAACATGCCTGGATACGACGGCTACATCGACCTGGGCAAGGAGCTCTCGGTGCTGCATTCCCTCCTCTGGGAGGTTGTGTCCCAGCTTGATAAGGTAAAGCTGTTGGGAGGCCCCAGAAGGAGAATACAGGGATGGTTCCATGGCAACAGCAAACACTGGGGAGTACCAGGGGAAGGCAGGAGCTTTGGAGGGGAATGTGTGATGGTGCTGTTTCACAGCTGCTCCTTCTGGGATTTCGGATCAGGGCCTGCAGCAGGGTGTGTGAGGTGGTTGGGCTTCAGCAGCCCTGCAGACCCTTTGCAGAGCCTTTAGGAAGGTCAGGTGCTGAGGGATTGCTTGGAAGTGGACCTGAAATCCCTGGGCAGCCGGTCCTGTCTCATAAGTGAGGCATTTGGACAGGAAAAGGCCACATTTGCTGTGCCTTGTGGTGCTTTGCTGCACAGCAGGCCCTCCCCTGGTTCTGATGGAGGAATGAGTTGGCCCTGTGGAGCTGTTCTCATCAAGAGCCCAATCCAAAGCCTGCTGAGATGCTCTCATTTCCGTAGTCTTTGGTTTTGGCACGCAAGGAATGCCGTGTAAGAGGCTGGATCTGCTCCGAGTGCCATCCTGCAGCAGAGCAAGATGCTTTCTGCTGTGCCCTGGGCTGGGCTCGTGTGCAGTGTCCAGGTTCTGTTCTTCTGATCCCAGCAGACACCACCAGCAATGAGCACTGCTTCCTTTTAGCTATAGAAGCAGCAAAGACAGAGCTTTGATCTTCCTTGGCTATGTGTGTTTGCAGGAACCAAAATCATTAAAATCTTGATAGCAAAGGTAGCTGATACGGCCCAGAAAAGCTGAACTGAGTATTTTTATTTTTTTAAGTGCTTGGAACTGTTCCATACTTCAATTTTTAGAGGTGCATTATTTTGTCCATGTTCCATGTATATTATTCTTTCTTTTGAAACTGGAGAAGTAAGGTGAATAGCAATGTACTCAATTTTTATTGCATTAGGGTTTGCCAAAGTAGTTACTGGTTGTGTATCTATTTTTTCACTGTACATTACTTAAAAGAAAAAAACAAAAATCTGAGCTTGCTGTGTCAGAGTAAGTTGAAGTGCCCTTGACTCAAAAAGACAGTCTGTATATTAATCTTAGTTCGATAATAAGTTATGATGTTGTTTTTCAATTTACCTCATCCATGTAGACAGTGTAGATTCCAAATGTATGGATCTGCATGGCCCTTTCTGTAGGTTACATGTATGGATCTATCCTAGCAGGCCCTTGGGAGCTGGTACAGTGGTTTCCTAAAAAGAGAATTAAGGGGTAAAGTTACATGCATTATGGCTTTACTGTAGGGAATGGCTGGGAAATAAGGAGAGGAGCCACCTTGGAGATTTTAATAGCCACAGTGCTGTATGAAAGTGTCTTTAAAGAGACCTTTCTCTGGAGCCAAACTGGCTGAATAACTGCTTATGGGGAAAACAAGGTGTCTTTGAGAAGAACATTGATTTTGTCGCAGAATTTTAATTTTTTAATAAATCTGCAGCTCCTTCACCTTCTTCCTGCAGTCCCAAGAGCCTGGAGATGCCCTGTAGCTGATCTCCCAGCAGTGGCCCAAAGGGGTGAGCAGCCAGGGCCTGGAGGAGCAGCCTTCCTTGCTGGAGGCCAGCTGCTCTTACCCTCAGCCTGGCCAGCACTGAGCTAACCTGTAATTGGAGCCACACATTTCATCCCATGCTGATGGGGTGATACTGGGATGAGGATCACTGATGCTCTCATGCAGTTCTTTTTCAAGTTTGGGTAGGGAAGAATGGCTTAATTAATTGTTGATAACGGTGCGAAAGGAGATGGCATCCATGCAGGATACCAAAACTGAAAGGCTTATGAAATGAAAACCTTCCCTTTCCCCATCACCCTCAATCCTCTCATGATCCCTCATCTGTTGGCATGCATTTCCTTTACCACATGACCCCCTTTGCCTGGAAAGTCCCCCCCACCAGCTGAATCTGTAGCCTTTGAATGCCCTTCAATGAGCAGATGCCGTAGTTTTCACTTTGACTTCACCCACCCGGGACACAGTGTGCTTTGCATGATAGTTTTGCATTGGAATGGCAGTAGTTTTGTTTTATTGAGCATGATTTTTATTTTTTGGGGGTCAATCCTAATTTCTTTTCTATTTCCTTTTCTTTCCTCAATGTCTGCTGCACCCCGTTTCGTCTCCTCCATCCATCTGGTCGCCGTCGTTGCGCTGCTCCATAACACTGCATTCCGATCCTGGCACACCCGCACACAACCACCCACCCTCCTTCCTTCCACTCCATCCCTCCGCCTCTGTGCATCGGTACCAAAAAAATCACAAACCCGCCGGATGTCGTGGTGCTTGTATCCAATTAGGGTGAAAATTCCTTCCTACAGGCAACCGTGGCAAAACTGGGACCTCTCCCCCGTATTCTTGCGGATATCACAAAATCCATGACCAGCCCCACACCCACGCAGCAGCAGCTGAAGCGTTTCACGGAGCACAGCTCCAGCCCAAACGTCGCTGGAAGTCTCTCCTCGGGACTTCAGAAGATAACCGAGGACCCCAGCGATGGGTACGTCCCAGCTGTGGGGTTGTAAAGCTGTGAGGAGTTGGAAGGAGATGATCTTTGAGGTCTCCTTCCAGCAAAATCCTTCTGTGGTTCTGAGGGCTGGGGGCTTCATCACCTGAGCTGTGGAATGGGGCCTCTCTCACAGGGAATAGACCATCCCAGTAAGAGGTGCACAAGGTGGCACTGGGCACCTGGAGCTTTGGACTTACCCAGGACTCAACCACATCTCTGGGAGTCAGTGACTTGAGCTGATAAAAAAACCAGTTCTGTGATTTACTGCCAGCCTGAGTGCACAGTCAGCCATGGTGTTTCCTTCTGGCCATCAGGCTGCTAATGGAAAAACTGAGCTGTAGGTGAAATGTATTGCCTGTGGAACAGCAGAAGTAGTCCCTCCTGTGTTTTATGCAGCATTTCTCACACCGTAACAGCTGTTAATCTGGAGCTGTGACATGGTAGAGCTGCCAAAGGGCTCAGCTGCTGCAGTACCTGTGCTGTCAGGTAAAAGGGCCAGTTTGGCACGTGCCCCCTGAGCTTACATCCAGCTCTGAAGGAGCCTTCACACAGCTCCTGCTGAATTTTAAGACCTCCATAATACACAGAATCATTCAAGTTGGAAAAGCCCTCTAAGAGTCTCAAGTGCAGCCATTAGCCCTGCACTGCCAAGGCCACCGCTAAACCATGTCCTCATGTGCCACATCTCAACACCTTCCAAGGATGGTGACTCCAGCACTGCCTGGGCAGCCTGAGCCAGTGTTGACGATCCTTTGGGTGAAGAAATGTTTCCTGGTATCCAATTTTAAAACCATCCCTGGCACTACTTGAGGCGATTTCCTTTTGTCCCATCTCTTGTAATGGCAAAGGGTTAAATGGCATCTGAAGTGTTGCTAGAGACAGAAGTGACTAAGGGGGGAGGATTTAGTGGGAATGGTTTAGATTTCACCTGTTAAAAAAAAAATAAAGATGAAGGATGTCTTGAATCAAACACCATTCTCCAAGATAAGAGATAATTAAGGAAGAGTGTGTTCTGACTTGCACACAAAGAGCTCTTAAAAGGAAGTCTGGCTCCTTGAAGCTTTCAGTGGGGGGAGGTTAAGTGAGGTAGAAAGACTTCTCTGGGACAGATCTCTCGGGGTCTTGGCTGCTCAAAAATTTAACCAAATTCCTTTCCACTCCACAGTGACATAAACAAGATGAAGTCTCCAACCCAGGAAAATGTAGATGGACATTTTAGGGGCAAGACCTTACTGCTGGTTCAGCAGGCATCCACCCAGAGCATGGCTTGCTCAGAGAAGGATGAGAAGGTAAGTGTCTTGCCCAACGGCCGTAGCATCTCCCTCATGGACCTGCAGGACCCCCACGCAGCTCACGGCGACGCCGCCTCCATGATGCACGACGTGCCTTTGCGCCTGGCGGGCAGCCAGCTCTCCGTCACCCAGGTGGCCAACATCAAACAGCTGTGGGACGCCCAGAGCACGCCCCAGAGCGCTCCCCAGGTCCGGAGGCCGCTGCACCCGGCGTGGAACCAACAGGGCAGCCTCCGGCCCCTCTCCTTCCAAAACCCGGTTTACCAGCTCAACAACCCGAGCCCCCCCACGGCCAAGGCCTCTGTGGACTCCAGCCCGGAGAACCTGAGCACGGCCAGCTCCCGGAGCCGCAGCAACAGCGAGGACTTCAAGCCCAGCGGGCGCAGCAACAGCAGCCTGGAGGAGTCGGCCAAGCGCAGCTCGCAGAGCGAGGACTCGGCGCGGCGCCCCGACAGGCACGTGCCCGTGGTGCTGCCGCGGCAGAACAGCAGCAGCCAGGCGCAGATCCGCAAGATGGAGCAGGCCGTGCTGGGCACCAGGGCCAAGACGCTGCACACGCTGACGCACAGCCCCTCCCTGCGCAGCACGGGCAGCGTCTCCGGCGCCTCGGCGGCCCTGGGCACGGAGCCCGTGCAGAACGGGAACCGCTCCCGGCACCAGTCCTCGTCCTCCCGGGAAAGCCCCGTGCCCAAGGTGAGGGCCATTCAGCGGCAGCAAACGCAGCAGGTAAGGCAGTCCTGCCTCCAGGCCTCTGCTTTGGTGCTCAGCCCTTGGCCTCCAAAGCTTTCTTGACCTCTAAGCTGAATCAATAACAGCAGCACTTACACCAGCGGCCAGTAGCAAGTGTAAGGAATAATCGTGCTTGTCGCTCTCACAAGCTCGGCAAGCCACCTTATCTGTGCCACTGGGATGCTTTTGTACTAAATCTGAAGAAAAAAAACAACTGTTTTCCATTTAACTAAGGTAGCAGCAAACCTGCTGAAAGAAACAAAACTGGAAAATTTCCCTGAATACAAAGGAAAAAAAAACAGGAGCAGCTTTGTAGTGGTAGTTCAGATCGCCACATGAGACTGCATTTGCCCTGTGGTGCTAATTTAAAAGCAGAGCTGCCTCGAAACAGGGAAATGAACAAAGATAAAACATCACAGGATAACTGCTGCCAAAATAACAAATAAGCACAGTTGTCTAAAGTGTGGAGAAATCCATATTTCACCGTGATGAAGCAATCTCTTGCTGTTCCTCAGAAAAGTGCTGTTTTTTCATTAATCATCCCAAACTATGAATAATGCAAATTTTTTTTGTGGAAAGGAGTGCTTATATCTACCAACTCCTAATGCACATTATCAGTTGCTCATAGGCAACTATAAATCAAGATTTTCCTGTCAAAAAGCCAACATGCCTTTATCTTTAAAAAAAAAAATCCTGTTGTGATTTGCTGTGTATGAAAATACTTTCCTACATTAGTTTAATTTTACAGAAGAAGTGAGTATTTCAATGCTACAGTGAAGGTGGAAAACATGATCTGCAGATCAGAGCTCTTGCAGAGGGAAGGCTTTGGGCTCTGAGGTGAAGGTGGCAGAAGAACCTCTGCTGTGCCCAAACTTTTCTTGGTATTCCCTGCCAGTGGAGCTTTCTTGGCAAACTCCTGAATGTTACATCCCTGGGTGATGCCTGGGAACCCAGGAGCAATCAGGGCTTCAAAACTACTTTGATACCTCAAATTCATTGAAGTATGAGACCAGAAACACTGAATCACAAGCCAAAGCTTAGTATGCCAAGTTAGTAATACCCAAGGAAGTAATTGTTTGTTATTTGAAGTGTGTGTGTGTTTGTACTCCCTGCAGTGTGTGTTTTACAGTGGGGCATAGGGGCATGGCTAGGTGAAGGGTTTTTTGAGGAATAAAACCAGACCTTGTGTGGTTCTGATAGCACATTTTAGGCCAGTAACAAGGATAAATGTGCAGGGGATGTGCATCCGCTTGTTTTCCCACTGTACTTTCTGTACTAATTGTTTCCACTGGATTCATTAGAGTACTTGCTCCTGCTTTATTCAGAGAAATCAATTTGTTCTCTCCTTCCCCACACCCATCAACAATGTCTTGAATGGTGCCAAATAGAGTGGCCAACATTTTTTTCAAGGCAAATTCCATTGGGTTCTTTTAATTGCAAATCTTGTTGTGGAATTCGGTTCTTGTTTAAAAAAGAGAAAGGGAAAAGAGAAGTTGGGCATGTTCTTTCTGGGCATGTTCTTTCTAGGCATGTTTTGTGGGCGTTATAATTATTAGACTCTGTTCTCTACAAGTCCCATTTGTTTCTGAATATAGAGCTGGGCCCTTTGTTTGCTGGGAGAGGTCACTTTTTGCCTTCCATTTCCATTTAGGAGGTAGGTGGGAACAGAAATGTCAGTGTGTTCCTCTGGAAGAGAGGCAAAGAGGGGAATTAATACGTGATCCTAGCAGGCTAATTCTTTTTTTGCCCTTTATTAGAGAATAACTTGTAACCCATTAGCATGTGTGACTTGCCATCCCCTTGGTCTTGATGGCTTCTACAATTTGGCTGCTGGAAATATTCTGTGCTACACTTGGAAGCTTGTTTGGCCAGGTTTGCTGCTGCTCAGCAGTCTGGTGCAGGGCTGGGGATGTCACCTTTCTGCTCTCTGAGTCCCCTGCAGCTCCAGTGGCTGGTGACAGTGTTCATTCCTCCTGTTCCTGATTTCTCCAGCCATTCACAGCCTCACATGGGCCATGGTCTCCCTTGCTCTGGCTGCCTGACAGCAAATGCCATCAAAAACATCTGAATTCATGAGCTTTGCCAGGCTGCCACACCACACCTAAGGGGCTGTTAACTTGTTGTGAAAACTTCCTTCTATGCAAAAGGCCTTTGCCTAAATCCAAGAATTTTTGCCTAATTCCTATGCCTTTTCTTTGCCTTTACACTTCTGCTGAGGCTTCTTCCCGTGCTGGAGCGTCTATGGCTGCTCAGGACAGCTGAGCTGTGGGAGCAGATCCAGCACCAGCCTTGTCTTCCTGAACAGGAGAAACACAGCAAGAGGGTGGCATGATCCCTGGCTCCTAAAGAAGCTCTTCCTCCCCCATGGAGAGCTCAGGGAGCACAGTGCACTTGGGTGCACCACTGGGCCAGGCAGGGAGCTGAAGAGCTGCCTGGGCACAAAAAGAAGCTGCAGTTGGGGAGAAGTTGATGGGTTTTTTTTTTGCATTTCTCAAAAATATAAGACAATGTTGCTCTTTCAGGAGTAATTATGCTAATTCCTGCACTTATAAACTTGTATTTGTCTGTGAAAATTGCTTGGAATTTGTAGCAAGCCATGTTTTCCCCAGCCAGGCAGAGAGTTTCTTGTCTCTTTTCTTGGCTCCCATTTTGGATTCCCTTGAAGAGGGGAGAGAGAGCCTCCAGAGAGGTTGGACATTTCTCCCAGTCAGCACAGCTGGCCCTGGCAGGGCAGCTACGCTGCAATGGACCATGCAAACCTGGCAGGCACTGCTGGGATCATGTCACACCTTCCTGCCACATCAAGTCCTGCCAGGCTGTGCAGCCCCATGCCCCACTGCAGTCTGTCCCAGCCTGGCTGAGGAAGCTGCTCCTGGAGCTCCTCAGCACTCAGGGAAACCAGCCTGTCTCACCTGAACATGCTGTGAGCTGAGCTCTGTCACTGTGTGTTCTCTGTGCAAGAGGTGGCAGGGTGAGAAAGCCTTGCTGGCAGTGTGGTAAAGGGTAGAGGTGGATGTGAATGGGATTGGGAAACAAGAACTTTTTCAGAGAGTAACTCACTTGGAGAAGAAGAAAATTTTCTAAAGTGCATTGGTTTTAGAGGGATTCAGGTAGGTGCTGTAGGTCCAAAGTCAAGGCAGGATGGGGTATCCCTGCAGGAGATCTTCTGGGGCTCCTTTGAGGCTGCCAGACCCATGGGTATCTTTCTCCTCTAGCTGAGCTGGATGTCAGAGCTGGTAGGTGTGCAGTTTCTGTGGTGGATGCCAACACCAGGTGTCTCTGCCCCAGGTGCAGTCACCAGTGGACTCGGCCACGCTGTCCCCGGTGGAAAGGACGGCGGCGTGGGTGTTCAACAACGGCCAGTACGAGGACACCAAGAAGGACACGGCTCAGAGCCTGGATGAAGTCAAGCATGCTGAGAAGGTAGATTTGATTCTGAGTGCTCTGCACCCCACAGTGAGAGTTCAGAGGGACTTTCAGGCCCTGCTGTCACAGCATCACACATTCTCTCACAGGTTATATTAGTTACAGTGATCACTAACTCTGTAAATAAATTAGGATTGTTAACCCCACTGAGCACAGGACATGCACAGGGACTATGCAGGGCTGCAGCTCAGCTTTTACCAGTAGCAGCAGTCAGATTTTGTCTTGGACTTCTCCTGAGGCAAATGCCTGCCACCCAGGTACTGCAAGGTTTCTGAGCTGCACAGAAATCTGCATGGTCTGTTTTTGAAACTGTGTGTTTTTTCAGGAGTAGATCTCATTTTTCCAAATACAGTCATAGCCATGTGTTGCTTGAGGATGGAGTTGTTGTGTAAGAGGTCTGGTATTTTGAGAAGGCAGGGAGTGAGAAGAACATTTAGTGGACAAAGAAGCAGAAACATAGGATTGTTAGGAAAGGGGAATGAACCCAAAACAAAGCAATATATTGAGATTCATGGCACTATTGCAGAAATTATTGCCCAGAGAGACAAGAAGAACAAAAGCTCAGCCAAGTAAGGCTCTGCTTTGCAGTGACTGGTTTGCTCTGACCAGCCCTGATTGATTAGGTCCTAAAGAGCGAGTTATTTGGGTTCTACATAAGTCTGGGTCTTTGAGTTTGGGCAGCCCAGGCCAGCAATTGAGCACTGTTAGCAGCATCTGCCTGAGAACTGCTGGAGTCTGGAGTAAGGCAGGATGTGACCAGTCAGGGCTGAGGAGCCATGTTAGAGCCCTCTGACTGCTGGAATTGTGCTGCAGAGTGATACCCCACAGCATGGGAGCAGCTGGATGCTCCTTCTCTATGGTCACCCCTATGTTTGCTTCTCACTTCCTTTACTTCCATCAGCTTATTTTTCCCTAAAAAAAAACAAACAACAACACTCCCCTAAGGAGCAGCAACGCATTATAAGGATCTGACCTCTACTTTTTTCTGCTTTGCCCCTGGTTCCCTGGTGCCTCCCTGGCCCTCAGTACGAGCAGGAGATCGCCAAGCTGAAGGAGCGCCTGCGCGTGTCCAGCCGCCGGCTGGAGGAGTACGAGCGGCGGCTCCTGGTGCAGGAGCAGCAGATGCAGAAGCTGCTCACAGACTACAAATCTCGACTGGAAGACAGTGAGGACAGGCTGCGCAGGCAGCAGGAGGAGAAGGACAGCCAGATGAAAAGTATCATCAGCAGGTGAGGCTTTGGGAAGCTCAGGACTGGGCTTTCCAAACGAGACAAACGGCTCCCCTGTGCAGCTCCATCCTCAGAGCTGAAGAAATGGGGATGCAGGTGTGGAAACTTGCCTGAGATTGTCAGGAAGGTAAAAGAAAATATTTAGGAATTTTTACTTTAGGTCTCTGTGTCCAGGTCTTTATTTTTGTTGTTGTTTGGAATCTGTACGTGAAATTAGTTTTTCAGAGCAGTGGCATTTTTGGCAATGTCCATTCTGAAAATAGCAAGGTTGGGCAACTGGGAGTGCCCTATGGAGATATAAGCTTTCCTGAGAGCAGCAGAATTCTTCTCTTGGAGAGCCAAGAGAAGCAGAGAAGTCAAACCAACAGGCCAGAGTACCTGAAACACTTGGGATGATATTAAACTGTCCTAATTCGTCCCTCTCTTTGCTCATCAGACTCATGGCTGTTGAAGAGGAGCTGAAAAAGGATCATGCTGAGATGCAAGCAGTCATTGATGCAAAGCAGAAAATCATTGATGCACAGGTAGGTAAAGAGCTTGGGATCTCCCAGAACCTGTGTGTAGAACCTGTTCTTGGCCCCTCTCTCCTGCCCCAGCACTGTTCTCTACCTTCCAAGCCATATCAGCCCTCAGTGTGACACAGGTCACTTATTGCCTCTGGGAGACAACTTTGGACTTTATTTTATACTGTCTGACCTGGGCTTTGAGGCAGCCAGGCAGCCTGGCAACAAATCCCAGGACTGATCATGTCTCCAAAACCTTTGCTGCTTTGTGAGATCTCAAGGGAGTAAAGGATTAGCAGTGCATTGTGTAGATGCTGTTCCAAGTGTGGGCCTGGCACCTGTGGGAAAGCTGTGCCTCACCCCAGCATAGTTTAGCTGCCATGTGCATGCATCTCAGCTGTGCCAGCAACAGCATGGCTTTGGACAGTGGAGTCCAGGAAAGAGAATGCTGCACCAGAGCATTGTCCTGGGAATGTCACGTGTGGCATTTCACCCCCTGGCCATCCCCAGCAGTCCTGGGAAATGCCCATTTCCCACAAACCTGCAGCTCCCACCTCGGTCACCCTGGGCAGCTATGGGGAGGGCAACCCAGTGGGAAGTGCATGTGAGTGTATCCTGTGGGGTCATTCCAGCTTTTCCTCTGTGTCTGTGCTGATCCCACAACAGAACCTGGGACTGGTTTGTATCTGCCTGCCATGTTTACATTTGTGGTATTTGCATTTGGAGGGTCTCTTTCCTGCTTCTGGCTTTTCAGTAGTTCCATATGGAAAGTTTCTTTAACCATTTTTTCAGGAATAACCTAAGTTATTCCTACACAAAGAGTGGTGGTGGGAGTCTCATCTGAACATGGTTAAACATGGCACTGGGGTATTAGAAATACTTGAACTCCTGTGGAACTGTAGGGAAAATATAAAGCAGCAAAGAGCTGTGTTTTTTGGAGATAGGCACAGTTAGGGCATCTTGCTGTTACAGGCATGGAATGGCAGCTCATCCAGGCAGCAGCCTGGATTCTGAAATTAGTGGATGCATTTTTCATCTGCCTCAAGACAGTGGAAGGGCACTGGGCAAACATGCAAAGTGATTTTTGGAGGGGAGAGATTGTGACTGAGTAAGAAACTTGCCTGTTACCTGTGCATGCCAGGAGGCTCTCAGCCTTGGTGTTGGTTATGGGCTAGCAAGGTGGAGCATGGACCATTGTGATCCCAGTGTCACCAGCTGGCAGAGGGGACCTCTACTGACCTGTGAGACCTTCAGACCCTCAGGGCTGGAAGGGTGTAGGCCTTGGTCACACTTCATCAAGTGATGCAGCATTTATCACCTGTGGTGGAAATTGGTGAAAAAACAGGAGCAAAACAGCAGCATTAATGATTTCTCTTTTTCTTGGTCAAGCAAGGTCACTGGCAAACCTCAACTGCTTCACTGTCAGGCAGTGCATGGGGGAAGTGCAGTTGTCACTGTCCTTCCTTGAGTACCTGAACACAGGAGGAAATGGGTGAAAGACTCAGAACAGACTCACCAGGGGAGCCCAGGGGCCTGCTGGGTTCTGTAGCAATCCCTTGAAGTCGTGCTTGGAAGATTTTATTTAGTCTGATTCCTTCAGTGGCTAGAAAAGGAAAGGTGGTTTTTTGTGTGAGATTTCATCGTGTGGGGCTGGACCCCGGCTCATCGCACCCAGCTTAAGAGTTAAAGGCTGCCAGGAGCAGCAGTGACCTGGGATCTGTGCCTAGGGACACCAGCCTGGGATGGTCTGAGGGGTCAGTGCAGCTCCCAGCACTGCCCCCATGCACACAGACATGAGCTGTTCCCCTGGCTCTGGAGCTGAGCAGGGATAGGTCTGGCCAGAGTCTCTCCTCGGAGCGGCGCAGCTGCAAAGAGAACTGGCCCGGTTGCTATTGCAAGTGACATCTCCGCTGTGTTAAATTACAGGTCATAAATGGGGATGAGATAATTCCAACAGGCAAGTAAACCCAATCAGTTCTCTAGCTGAGCAGTACCCAGTCCTGGCCCAGCACACTGACCTCCTACCCATTCCAGCTCCTCCTGCTCCCTGTGCCCTGAGCATGTTACAGAGACGTGCCTGGTAGATCTAATTTTCCTTTCAGTGAGAAGATGCCTCAGCTCACCAACCTTGTGCTTTTCAGATTGATTTTTCCAAGTGTGGATCTCCAGCTGTTTTGCAGACTGGCTCAGTGAGTGCTCAGCAGTGTCTGAAAACACCCACCCCTTCATTCTCAGCTCTTTGGAAAGAATTTTTAGAAAATTTTCAGGAAAAGTTTCAGAAGGAAAACTTTCATTTTAAATTGTATGTTCCAGGTGAAATACAGTTGGAGGAATAGGAGCTTTGCCTGGCTGAGGAGCACATTCCTTCTGAGGCAGTTGTGTTCTGCAGGGCTCATTTCAGCCTGGGAGGAGAGGCCTGTAACTCCTTGGCTCTGTGTTCTCCCTGCTCCCATCAGCTGCATTGGGATGAGGGCTAAGGCAGGCCCTGTGCCTTGTGCCTCTTCCTCCTCTATTGGCTTTACACAGAACTCAGCATCTTGAGGGCTGTAACAGAAGCAGGACTTAAATTCTGTTTTGTTTTTGCACCCAAGCACTCAGCTCTGTGGGGCAGCCCACTGAGAAAAGCAGGCATTGCTGATTAGTGCTGTAGCACGCACTGATGTGCTGGGATCCGAATCCCAAGGGGCTGTGGTAGCACGTGAGTCTCCTGAGCAGTGTGTCTGAACTTTCCTTAATGTTTATGCCTTCTGTGCATCATTCTTCCCTCCATTTTATTTCTCAATGGGCTGGACTGGGAAGAGTTCCTATCTGCAACTTGTTTTGGTTGAGCAAATTAGACATTTTCCCTTCTCAAAGAACAAAAGCCAGTCAGCTGGTGGCATGGAGAGCACAGTTACCTTCCTGCTGTCTCCAGCACTGCTTTCTGCAGCTGCATTATTATTATTTTTTGGGGGGAAAGATGGAAATCGTCATCTCTGATTATGCCAAGAACTCCTTGGCTTGCCCCTCCATGCTGTATCCCACTGTTAGCAGGCTGGGTCTGGTGATGGGTTATGTCAATTTAGCTGCACACATCCCTGAGCTGTCTGCTCCAAGTGGAGGCTGGCACGTTCTGTGCAAGGACAATCAACCAGGCACGTGCATTTGAGGAGCCCAGGAGCCCCCCAAGCTGGAATGGGTTTAGGAGCAGCGTGTTCCATGTTTGTTCTTTGTGTTCTGTCGATGGCATCTCCCCTCCACCCACAGTGCCCTCTCCCCCTCACCTCCAGTAACCCTCAGCGTTAGCTTTGGCTGCTGCTTCTCTGTGTTGCTGTTGCACCGTCACCGCAGGCTGCCATTATCTGCTTTTTTTTTTATTATTGTTTATTTATTTATTTATTTATTTCAAGCATCCCATGAGTTTACTCTGAGCACACTCCATCCAAAGCACAGAGACAATGGTCGGCAGATACCACTTGCACTTTTCTCTGCCAGATGAAACCTCCCCACCACTTTTATTTTCTGCTGCCTGTTTCTGTTTTTCTAATATACTTCTAAAATGTAATACGGAAATTGGCTACCATTGTTATTAACACCAACCCCCTCCCACTCCCCTGTGGCAAAACCCTGCCCGGCTGGGTGGAGCCTCCATGCCCGGATCAATTCCCTGCTGTAACTCGGATTCGTCGCACAAAAAGCCCCGGAGGGCCGGAGCGGCCGCAGAGGAGCCCGTGGCACCCCGAAAACAGAAAGAGGCAGACAGCCCATCTGGGCAGGGAGCGCTGGCCCAGCTGCCTCTGCCAGAGCCCAGGCTGCTCCCAGCCAGGGCGGGCAGCAGCTCTGACACTGTGGGCTGTCTTTGCAGGAGAAGCGGATCGTGTTCCTGGACTCGGCCAACACGCGCCTGATGAGCGCCCTGACGCAGGTAAAGGAGCGCTACACCATGCACGTCCGGAATGGCAACCCTCCCAAGCTTTCCATCACGGAGAATGGTGAATTTAAGAACAGCAGTTTCTAATTCTGCAGGTGCTGCCAACCACCTCCGTGGAAGAGCAAGACGGAGCAGAGCCAAGACCCCTCACCGTCACTGATTGTTGCACATAGTTCTTCTGTAAAAGGAAAATTGTATTGTTTGAAGATTGTATTGTTTGAAGATTGTTCTAAAATTGTTTTAGAGTTGTATTTTAAAATTGTATTTTAAATTGTTTTAAGATAGTATTGTACATTCAATAAAATTGAAAAGCAACTCTGAAGGGTGGGCTTTAATTCCCCACTCAGGGCCAGGAGAACCAGGCTCCCCAGAATAAGTCCTTGTGGATCACTGTGTAAATAGAGGGAGCTCTTGGGTTGTGTACAGAAAATGCCAATGTAATATACCAAAAGGAAGTGAATACTGTAGATTTTTTAATTATTGCTATTTTTTTTATTATTATTATTATGTTGTTGTTGTTATTGTTGATGTTGTTGTTTTTCTCTTGTTGAAAGCACTGCAGTCCTGGGAGGAGGAAGAGGGGGGTGTGTGTGCGTGTGTGTTGTGGGTGAGACGTGAGCAGCGGGTGACCCGAGGCAGCAACTGGCTGATCAAAGGACATGAATGGAGTGAAATGAATTCCATAGGAAAACTCACCAGCTGGGTTTATTCCCCTCTTCCCCAGCTGGTCTTTAGCTGAATGCAAACTTGATAGCAAATGTTTTAGCACGAGAACTGGCTCTTGCTGTGTCCTGTACCTAATTCTGATAGGGCTCTGTCATAAAACAGCCTTTCTGGAGAAGGTACAAAGTGGGAGCAGCAAGCTGGATTCCTGGAATTTGCACAGTCAGGCTTCCTGTCAGACAGAGGGAATCTGCAGGATTTTGTGGTAGGATTCTTTCTTTTGTAGCCCAGTTCTGATGCAGTTTTATATTTTCTTCTGTTTGGAGGATTTACAGACCTGTAAATACTTTTTTAACGATTTCTAGCCAATCCCTACTGTACACCCCCTGCAGAGGCACCCTGAATTCCCTCTCTGCTCTCCATCAGGAACAGACAGGTTAATCCTCTCGGGAAAGGGCTAACCAAAGGGTGCCCATGCCCAGCACAGGAAATTCCATATGCAAAAGTCCCTTTTTCTAGAGGATTTCTGTATTTTAATGCTCGCTAATTTTCACTATTTCAGCCACTTGCTTAGCCAGTGTAGTTCCAATGAAAGGTACTTTCTGCACCTTTGTTGAAAGATCTTCCATTTCTGCTGAAATTTACTTTTCTCTGGATAATTTAAAGGGATTTTTTTGAGTTCTGTACACTGCAGTTCTTTTCAGGAGTTTTGACTAAGTTTTTGTCTCCAGTTTCTTTCAGTTGTGTTTCATAGAAGCATGATTCCAGACTGTGTGTGAATGGGATATTGCTCCAAAGTGACCTTCTCCTGGGAGACAGTGACATTCACAACCTGTAACAGATGAACACTAAATGGCTTGGTATTGTCAATTCTCATGATTCATCAAGTGCCACAATATTTAATCTGAGAGAGGGTTGGTTTTTTTTTTAATCTCAGATTCTGAAGTCAAGTGTGAAATTTTACTTCCAGCTTTTGCTGTGCATTTCTAGCCCTCAAACCCTCACAGTAAATGCAAGTATTGCAGCACTGATTGAAATTGTTAATTACAGAAACATACTGATAACAGCAAGTGTGATTAACCATTCTCACGTGCTGTGGAAATTGGAAAAGTTTACTTCAGTTTGAGACAAAACCTTGAGAGGTGCCTCAGTGTGGGATTGTCTCATGAAAAATGCAGGAGTGTCTAAGCCAGTTCCCTGCACATGAGTTATTGGCAATACCAAGACCCAAACCTGGTGTCTGTTGCTAAGTTTGCCTGGTTTTTGGAAATGAGTTCATCCCAGCCCTCTGGCTGATGCAGGAGGTGGCAGAGCAGTGTGTGTGCTCTGCTGTCACGATGCTCAAGCCACCATCACCACCCCCGTGTGTTCTGTGCATCAGTGCAGAGCCCCTGTGCTGTAGGATGTGTGTGCATCAATCCTAGCCAGGCCTTCTGGAGCACAGCAGTGAGCTGGGATGTGGGGTTAATGCTCAGCTCTTTGGGATCAGAGCTGCTCTGGCTGCTCGGCCGGGACTCGGTGCTGGTGGCACTGACACACCTGGGGTTGTGCTCTGCATTGGCTCAGCAGTGCTTACTTTTCTATACTTTCCAAACCGTCTTCCAGCTCTAGATCCTTGCTGACCTCTGATATTTTATTCCTCAAACTGTGCCTTTGAGTTTCTCCTTTCTCCCTTCAGACATCGCAGCCGTAGCAACTTCTCCAGTTTGTGTTGAGCTGTCATGTGAGGGCCTCATTTACACAAACCCTTTTTGTGGGCTCTTTCTGTGGGATCTGCATGTCCCTGGAGCCATGTACTGTAATTGTACAGCTGTAGCATGGGGGAACATGTTCCCATCCCTTTTGGGATGGGCATGTGAACCTGCCCCCCTTGTGGCACGGTGCAGGTGATGTGGGTGTGCTGTGAGCGAGGTGTGAGCAAGCGCCTGTGGGGCTGCCCTGACAGAACAAGGCAGAAGCAGATGTGTTGGTCTAGGAGAGTTATTCCAGCATTATTTTGGGAAACACCTTTCCCCAGAGCTCCCCAGTGCTCTGGTAATGTCAGGGGTCACTGGCTGACTTGTGTGGTTTGATGCTGAGGTGTCCACTTTGGTTTCTGCAATAGGGGCAGCATTTCAGCCTGGATTTTTAGAGGGGAAATAAAAATCCCTGCCTCAGTATTGGTGAGGTCTTTGGTAGTGCATCATTCCAGTACTGTACGTTCTCCTGTGTGTTTCTCAAGCTTGTAGAATGCTTGTAGGAAGAAGCAGTGGCTCTCTCAGAGCCTGACCCCTCGCTGTGGTCTCAGAGCTCGTTTCTAGGTTGGTTGTTTCTCTGCTTTTCCACTTTCTCCCCTCAGGTGCTCCTCCAGCTCTGCCACCGAGGGATGAAGGTTGCAGAGTCAGTGCTGCTAGACTGGAATTGATCTGCTGCAGCACAAAACACTGCTCCTGAGTCCTGCAGGCAGCTGTCTCTCCTAGTTTGTTACCAAGCAGCCTGCCAGAAAACTTTCAGCCGCCTCAAGCTGACAATATGTGAAAATGCCAGTTTCCATTTTGTCCAGACTGATAAAATCCATGCTCTGTTCAGGAGCAGGAGCCCTGCCTGGGCCTGATCACGTTTGGGTTTAGACTCATGGCCAGTGGGCTCTGAGGGAGTGAATGGTGCAATGTGTGATGGGGAGCTGGCTTTGTGTTCACACTCTGAGCAAAGGCTGATGGCTGTCTCTAATCTGTGCAAGGAGCTGCTGCTCTCACTGGGGAACAGATGAAGTAGTGCAGGAAAAATTGGATAGCCTGGAGGAGGAATACTGGTGTTCCTCAGACTGAACAGGAAAGTCACCCCATCTTGGTGTCTCAGTCCACACTGGCCACGTTGGTACCATTCTAGGAGGGTTCTCTCCAAACCCCAAAGCCACCTGGGCTTCCTGAGTGCTCAGGAAAAGCTTGAGGCCAGCACAGCAGGGCAGGGAGATGGAGCAGCCTCCTGTGTGTGGCCTCTTGGCAGGTTGTGTGTGGTGTCTGCAGGGTGTGAGGTGAGCAGGGACAGGCTCTGAGAGGACAGAGGGAGCATGGCCTAGGCAGTAAATCCTGTAAATCCCTGTTCTTTGCAACTGTAGGAATTCAGGCCTTTTTTTTCTAGGGGAAATAGATTTCACATCTAGGAATTACCAACTGTTACTTCCCTGGTGTATCCAAAATGGGTAGCTTTTTACAAAAGCACAGATCCATACAGCTACACATTTTGCCACATTCCTCTTCAGTGGCATAACTCAGGCAGGGAATCTACAGGAGCGTGGAAAGGGATGTGTGTATTTTCTAGTTAGAGAATATGAGGTGTATCCACTAATAAATTATTCATCCATCTAATAAATCATCAAAGAAATGGGGTTTATTTTGCATTCATGTAATTGCTTTGGTTTGCCTGTGAGATTTTCCCCCATGATATATTCATTCCATGTTCTGATGCTTGCATAAACCCACCAGCTTTTAACTTAAAAGTCCATGAATTTTACAGCCATGTCCATGGAATGTGTCAGCAATACTTACTTGTGTGGATGAATTCTGCTTGTGTTCTGCAAAAATGTCTGTGTTGTTCCTGGAGAACAATTCCTGTCCCAGTTGAACCATGACGTGCATTTCCATCAGTGGTGGGCATGGTCTGCCAGAGGAAAAAGGGTTAAATTTAGGGTGATGTTTTTAAATGTTTTCCTTCTCCACAGTAAGTTAACCCCCAGGAGAGTGAGCATGTCCTTACAGATCATGCCTGCCAGGAATCCTACCTGCAAAAATAGATTTTTCTGTCTCAAGGGCCTTAATAAGAGTGTTACTACACAGAACTGTTCTACAGTGATAGCTCTAAATAATTTATTTTTTATTTCAACAAAGTACACCTTTAAAAAGGAATAAACTTGTTTTTCAAGCCGTATTTTTATGCTTGTAGCACTGGACTGTTTGGTCTCTGAGATCCATTTCTGCATTTCATTGCCTGGGTTTGTTCTAAAGAAGATTTATTTTTGTTCTGTGAATAATTTTTGAAGGTTCTTGTAATATGTACAGATATAGATACATTTGAGGACTTTTATTGATATTCCTACAAAGAATACAAATAAACTTTAACTTTAAACAGTTTGGACTCTGTAAACTTACACTGATTTTAAGTCCCCCTGTTTTCTGTGCTCAGGTTGTGTTCGTGTAAATGCAGGGGGTGCAGGGGAAGGAATTCCCACTGGGACAAAATGTTTGGGACAGAGCAGCTCCCACCTGGAGCAGCCTGAGCAAACCAAGGGCTGAGGGGAACAGGATCAATTCCTGCCTCCTGAGGCTGGGAAATCTCTGGCATTGTGGAGTGAGAGAGCGACAAGCTGTGGAGACACTGAGAACTGCTCTCTGCTTCCTTTAGCCGTGGGGTTTTTCACTGAGTGCTGAAAAGAGAGTTCTGTGTGTTAATTACTGTGGTTATTCCCCTCACACCAAACCAATGAATGTGATCAGCCTGGTTTTCCTGTTCAGTCCATTCC